TATTCACAGTTCCAGCTATCTTTCAGAAAAAGAAAAAGAAACTACTCAAAAGAGAGCAAAAGACTGATAATATTCTCATTATATTCTATACATTGTTATAGCAACTGTTATAGTATAAGAATGAATTTCCCCTGAAATGAACCTATTTCTCTACACATAGAGCAGTCCAGTTTCAGTTCTCTGTTAAAGCCAAAAATATGGATACTAAAAATTCTCCACAGGTGTGTGTTGGCTACAGTAGGCTCCAGCTCCCGTTAACGTTTCTTAATTCCAAACTGGACAACCAAAGAAAGAGTAAATTGAAGCGGATTTCTGAATTTGTGCCATGATGAGTTCTTATCAACCTCACAACAATGACAAATCTAGAGATCACTGTTCCTATCTGTTTGCCAACAAATTGTTACAATATGCAATTTAACAAATGGGACTCAACTTGTTAATTATACTGTATCTGTGGAGATAATTACAGATGTAACTGCAGGTATGTTTCAACAATTATCACAGTCAGGTTAACAGACTTTCCTGGGTTTCCATTGTCTATATTCAGCAAACCTAAGCACTCCATGCACACACACATTCTTATATTTGCTGAACAGTGAGGACTTGGTAAAAATACCTAAAAAGTGGGGTCACATTTAGGGTATAAGACATTCCTGCTCTTATACCCGAGTTTTTCTAGGATTGTGGGAGTGGCATGTACAAGATCGTTGGTTTCTGTAATGCTGGAAGTGAGGATGATGAGTAGAGTAGGATCCCTTCTGATAAAACTCTTTCAGCCACAGTTTTCATCCTTAGCTCAGTAGATGCACGTGTCATAGCAAGTGGCTGGGCATCATCTAGTTCCTAAGGCCATTCTCTTCTACCAGGGTCAGCTCATTATGTCCATAATCTTCTCATAAGATTGTCACCTTTTTGAAATACATTAGGGCTTTTCACAGAAGACGTCTTTCCTTGCCAGAGCAGGTTACCTGTTTTTAATAATGTCCAGTACCATGTGATGACTAAAAAAAAGTCCTTTATATTCTGCTTTTTGAACCGCTCTCTATCCCACCAAACACTTATGCACATACGCATGTACCACATTTACACCTACTCAGCTCCTGTATTTATAACTATAATTGGAGTGTGCTGAAGAACTGAAATGAGACATTGTAGGTACCTACAAGTGCAGCTGTTTCCAAGGGCCTGAAGGGCATTCATGCATAAGAGCAACTCATCGCTGAGGCCAAATTAGGAAGGAGCGTTAAATCCATCTGCATACAGAATTCATGCACGACCACACTCAAACTGTAACTTTGATTGCTGTTTTAAAGCACTTGTTCCCTGGGAAATTTAAAATAGCTCTTAAGGACAGGAACACATGAAATGTTGGCTTTACTCTGTACATATACAATAAAAAAGGCAACGCTGAAGTTTTAAATGTGCAGATACTGAGTCAGTGCACACTGTTTAGCTACTGGCAGTATACTGTATTTTCAGGGAAATTTCCCAGTCATTTAGAAAACAGGAGATAAGGGGTAAAGGGATATGAAGAAAGCTGTGATATAACCTATTACACAAATTACGGTCATTACTACTCTCATTGTGAATAATCAGCATTTTCATCAGAGATAAGGACCTACCTCATAATAGCAGAGAAGGTCAAGAAATACTCAAAGAAAGGTGACTCAGTTATTGTGATCAGTGTCTGAGGAGCAATAATTTCTTCAAAAGTAAAAAAAATCATTGACAAGACAATTAATCATACATTGACTTCCTCTACTTAAATGTTATATAACTACAGTTATATAATGGTTGCTGGCAGGAAATCAGTGCATGCTGTGGGTTTAAAATACATACAGTATGCTTCTGCATATACCATTATTTTCATCACAGACAGACATTATCAGGATATAATTAAAACCATATACTCAGTCAGGAAGCAGCTGAACTATTAACGGTGAATAACAGCAGTTAATTTAGCAGGATTTTAAAAGTTATACAACAGCAGAGCTTCGCTTTTTCTGGCCTGCTGCAACAGGTGGGGAAGAGTCTGATAAACAATAGTTTTTAGCACATGTCATGTAAAAATAAAAAAGAAGGGGGCAAAAGCAAAATCTCAAAGGTAATCTCACACATGAGTTAACATGAGATGAGTCCTGCCTCTAAACAGGAAACACAGGCGAAAGGTGGACACTGAGGAAGAGCTTTCATAGTCCATCACATCAAATGTTAGCTTTCAAGTTCTATTTTTGTTTGATTTTTTTTCCTGCACACACCTACTGTCTGTACCCAGACACATGCAATCTCATCAGAGAAGTGGAATTTCTGAGTTATTTTTTCTCTGCTTACTGCAGCTGCACATTTATTTTTATACTGGCAGCGGATCAAGAGTAGTTTTAAACTAGAGTTACAATAGGGAAAATTAAAGAATAACCAACGGACTTAAGTTCCTAATTTTAATTTTAGCTAACTATTTAAGGGTCGTGTTTACGGTTGACGCTTGTCCCAGCTGTCA